CGGCGTGGGCTGGGGTAGCCGCCGTGGCTCGGATCCAAGCTGCGGGGGGAGGGTGGTGGTATTGAAATGCCTTTCAGGCACCCTGGGCTTGGTAACCGGCGGTGGGTGGGATCCAAGCCCAGGATGCCTGAAAGGTATCCCAATCACCCCACCCTCCCCTCGCAGCTGGGATCCGAGCCGCGGCGGCTACCCCAGCCATGGCCGGACTCTAGGGAGTCCAGCCATGGCTGAGGTAGCTGCCGTGGGTCAGATCCAAGCCGCGGGGGGAGAGAGAAAACTGGATAATCCGTTCCAATTGGAACGGATTAACCGGTTTTCAATGCATTCCTATGGGAAATGGTGCTTCACATAACGATGTTTTCACATAATGTTTTTTTTTTCTGGAACCAATTAACATCGTTATGCGAGGCACCACTGTATTTGAATGCCAGATTATACTTTCAGATAACCTACTTGCACACACAAGATATCAGGATCTCCCAAAACACTTACAGAGTTAACAAAAACTAGGTAGAATTAGAAGCACTGGATATACAGTAACAGAACTCAAATAGCTATGAACTATTGAAGAAGAATTATTATGAATATGGAGATAAAAACTCCAGATTGTTATCGAAAGCTATAAAAAAACAAAGCCATTAAAAAGGCAACTGTTAAAATGAAAACTAATGATGGAAAATTGTAACTGCATAAAAGCAAATTTTAACAACTTGTATGGAATACTGTAAGGATTTCTGTGAAACAGAAATTACACCAGAAATAGATGTTTAAAAATTTGTGAATTCATTATCAATTAACTCAATTTTTGAGGAACATAAAGATCAACTCAGTTCACGAATAACACTTAAAGAAATGAAATCAGATATCAAAAGATTGAAAAAAAAATGAAAATCACCAGGATGTGATGGTTTTACAGCAGATTTCTATAAAACGTGGTAGAAGATATCTCTATGTACCTTTGGAAACTGTATAACTGATGGGTGAAAAAGTACCCAAATCCTGAAAAGTAGCAAGGATAATAGGAATTTCAAAGCTAGAAAAAGGTACCACACTCCCCTCTTCATATAGATTAATGCTACCAAACAAAGATCATTTTTTTCATCATTTTGGCACAAACATTGAATAATTTTATTACAAATTACATTCATACTGACCAATATGGTGTTATTCCAGGCAGACAAATATCTGATACAATTCATACAGTGCTAAACATCATAAATATAGTGGGTTGGGGGGAAAAAGGAAAGTGGCAATACTTTCATTAGATGCTCTTAAAGCCTTTGATTGTATTGAATGTTGGTATTTATTTATTTATTTATTTA